AATCAGTACAAATTGCGTTTGTTGGAGATTGTTGGTGTTACTCCTGTCGGGAAAATTTTTACTGTTGCAGTCGCATTTTTGCGCCATGAAAATGAAGACCATTACACATGGGTTTTGCAAAAGCTGAAGAGACTTTTCTCCCCTCAGACTCTACCTAGTGCCATCGTGACTGATCGAGAGTTAGGGCTCATAAAGGGGCTAGAGAATGTATTTCCGACCGTACCTCATCTTTTATGTCTTTGGCACATTAACATGAATGTGGGGCGTCGTGCTTCAAGATGTCTCGGCAATAGTAGGCGTCGTGGCACGACTTTTGTACTTGGTACGTGGCAAACTTTGGTAAAATCAGTGTCTGAAGAAGATTTCGCCAGGAATTACACAACTTTGATGGACGATTACGCGAATTATTCAGAGTTGATTGAGTATCTCCAAGGCACTTGGCTCGTATACAAAGAGAAATTTGTAAAAGCATGGACGGATCTAATTTTTCATTTGGGTAATACATCGACAAGCAGGTATTTATTTATAAGTGGTTAAATATATATACTTAACTTACTGTCATGTTGTTTATTGAAACATATCATATTCTAAACATATTAGGGTGGAGAGAAACCATAGAGCATTGAAGAGATGGTTGGATTCGTCCACGGATGGCTTTGACACATTTTGGGCCCAATATCACTCACAGATGAAAGATCAATTTAACGAGATACTAGCCGAATTTGCAAAGTCAAAGAGGATTCGGGCCCAGACGATCAACGTGCCCGTATTTAAAATATTGTCCAGTGGAATTGTAACACATAACGCTCTGTTCATGTTGGACGATGAGAAGGATGAAGACATAGACGGTTGCGTCTGTTATATGAGGAAATGTCTTGGCCTCCCGTGCAGACATGAAATTCGTGCAAAGGTGAATGCACGACGTGGTGTGTTTTACGCAGAGGATGTCCACATTTTTTGGAGGACATTTATTTCGGGCTTCCGGGATTCCCTAGATGAAAGTGTTGGTTCTGTTCCCGACCACAGGTCACACGCTATTGGCAGGCTAGAAGGGTTAATGAATGAGTTGCGTGAGCGGTCAGAAATTGAGATCACGGATGTGACAGATGTTATTTTTGAACGAATGCATCCCGGGGCTATGGAAATGAATGAGCCAGCAGTACTAGACCGCCCGAGAGGTAGACCGCGGAAGAACTCTACACAGAGGGATCAGTCAGGGTATGAGTTTCCATTATTTCCGGGAGAAGGTGAAGATTCTGGACGAGGACGAGGACGATCACGAGGCAACAGAGGGCGTGGTTCATCTTCTGAGAGATCTAGTCGTGGCCGTGGTCGTTCATCGACCGTGAGTGGACCCGCAATGGGTCAAATTCCCCGACCCCCTTGGATGCGACAACTTCATTTCTACCTTGTTCCGGGGGTTGTGACGTGAACGGACGTTCAAGGGGATGGTAATTGTGGTTATCGAAGCGTCGCGTGTGCAGTGAAGAACCACGAGGATGATTGGATGGATGTTAGATTGGATGTTTATAACTGTATTAGAGGACACGAAGAGTTGTTCAAGGATTATTTCGGTGGTGGTAATTTAGTGTATCGGGTGTTGGCGAGTGTCGCGTATTGGGACAACGCCCCAGCACCATATGAGAAGTGGATGACTATCACGGATGTGGGCGTGGTTGTGGCAACATATTACAACGCGTTGGTCTTGTCGGCTAGCAGTTTGGGCAATCAGACTTATTTACCACTTTGGGCTTCCGAAGGTGTTTCACAGTTATCTTACGAGATGACTATACTATTTCTTGAATCAGGAAGCCACTTTGTGTATGTGAAGATGAATGACAATTGTCCGCTTCCTCCGTTTGATAGACAGTGGGCGAGGTATAGCAATAATAGTGTTGCATATCTACCAGAGGCGTTGCGGAGTCGACGTGAAGCGTGGGATATTCTAAATAGTGTTTGATTTAAATTTGTTTTTTTATTGGAAAGAATGTATTACTATTGACATTGTATGTTATTATTATTATGTTATGATGTTATAATGAATGTTAGTATGTTATTATTCTTATTATATTATGTTCTAATAATAATAATAATAATAATAATAATAATAATAATAATAATAATAATAATAATAATAATAATAATAATAATAATAATAATAATAATAATAATAATAATAATAATAATAATCAGGTTCTGAATAACATATTTTATTAAACATAAATTTTGCCTAAAAACGAAAATCAGGTTCTGAACACCTAAGTATCCCTCGTCCTACGCCTGCGGTGAGAATGTCGCC